ACTTTTTAAATAAAATTTGAAATCATTTTAAATTTAAATGTTAGTTGTATTAATGTCATGCCATTGTTTGTCTAGAACTAATTTATCTAATAAATTAATAATTTTAAATACAAAATTTAAAGAATAATTTAAAAGAAATACTTGACATCTAAAATAAAATTAAGAAATACAAATCATATATATATATATATATATATCGATAAGTATTAATCTATTGATTGAAGAAGAAGCATGCCAAGCGGTCAATGAATTAACATGACACATTTAAATAATCACTTTTGATTGACGCAACTAGAATATAATTATGCGGTCGGAAAATTTCAGAATCTCTTTTGCCATTTGATACTACCTATCTGCTATTGAATAAAGAAGTCGGTTGATTTCCACTATAGCGCAAAATGTAATCGCAGCACAATTGCTTCTGGGAGTTGCTGCGAGTTGAAGAAGAAGAAGAAGAGAATGGATGAACCGACTCCCCATATATGCAACCATTAAATTGCACCTTTCGAGCCGACGTTACCTTGTGTTATTGCAAAAAGCGACCGCAGCTATGTCAAGGATGTCGATTGGACCAAAAGAAGCTTCAACGATGAGAAATTTTACTTTGATTAATCGACCAGTGAAGCGTTCCGCGTAAATAACTACGCAATGCGTTTTTATTTTCGCTGACAATGAAAATGCGCTGAAATCGAAACCCCGCTTTATCGATGCTTTAATTGCGCGTATCACAGATCTGGCGAAAATTCTCGGCAGAGTAAGCTAATCAAAACCATGTGTCATTATCTGGCGTACATATTATTATCTCGTCGCTCGTTTAATTCGATCAAGTGCGCGATATTGACCCGCGTTTCTCGTCAATGAGCGTCGCTGTCTCGTAATTGAGTACCACTGTGTGAGAGTATTATTCTTACGTGCCATACCGCTCGAGTTTTACTCGCGAATACACGGGACCGTAGGCACAAAAAACCACCGCGAGCGATTTCTTTGTAGTTCTTTCCTGTCGGTGCGGGGCTTGTAAGGTGTATGTACATCAACGCGTTACACGTCGTCTTAATTAAGACCAATGGATCATTACACGTTTCACGTTGTCGGGCTCGACCTGAACCTGGGACAATCCTGATCATGCAAGCTTTACTCGAAAAAAAAAGACAATATCTTGCGCGTCAAATTACTTGTATATTATTACGAGAAAAATGTCGAATTTCGAATAAGTGAGAGCTGATAAAAGTTGAAATTTAAATTTTTCAGTCATCGACAAAAATACATCTTATTGCTTCTATTATTTATGCTTATTGGAGATTGCATGTAGGAATAAAAAAGGTTTTAATAGTATTTTATCTACTTTAAAAACTTGAAAAAATGTTTATATTAATAAATACAATTAATTATGATAATTAAACGCAACGTGTGCAAGATGCAAACGTTTACTTTCCATTTTTCATGGAGCGTTAATAAGTTTGGAACAAATTATCGACAAATTATGTCCAAATACTGAAAAGTGCGACTTTATGCAAACCGATTTCTGATATTTGGTAAATATTAATTAGGCGAGCAGGGTATAACCGATCGCGTTTGAATTCTGGGAATGTCAAGCGAATTAATTTCCTCGAAAAAATCTATCGATGTGAATTCATTATCAGTAAGAGACTATGTTGCAAAAAGAGACGATTATAGATATTTCATGTTAAGCTAAACAGATGTACATATACGATTGCTAAATTCACAATTTATTTCCGTTTCTAGCGAAAAGCTCATAACGTTTTTCCCTTTATAAGCGTAATTAATTATTCGTGTCATTACTTGCGACTGGCATCTAATTAAATCGTATTAACTTCTGATATATATATGTATACACTCGTGCCGTTATAAAGAACATAACAGGGATGTCAAGTATTGCGATCAAACGGCTTTGATAGATTGTGCGCGGACTTATACATTATCGCGTTTAATCGAATAAAACTATGTGAACTATATTGGCTGCTTTGTGCCGAGGGAGTGCCGAATTAGCTCGCGGCGTGCTTTTCATAAAGCTCCGAAAAAAGCTCGCCGCTTTGTCGGAATCCGATGAAACGTGCGCTGTTTAAAATAATTCCAGCCGTTTATCTGCATTAAATTAACAGTTCTTTGTAAAAATTTATGTCACAGACGCTAAATACGGGAATAAACGCGTATTTCTTCCTTCAAAAAATGTGTTTATCTAAAAGACGAGAGAAAGAGAGAGAGAGAGATAGTCGTCGAGAATGTTTATACAATATCGTTAATTTCAGACTATGCACCAACCGTACGGTAAACATCGACTGTCAGTAAATAAGAAGACATGTTATTCGCACGATTCGCCGATGATGCGCAAAAAGAATCGAACCGATTTCTTCAACGTAGTGGTCTCGCTCGATAAATGCTCTTAACTGGCGATAAATGATGCGTTTTATCGGACTGCGCTCCGTGCGAGAAAAATTGAACGGGCACGCGTCTGTCTCGTACAGTGCAATCTCGCGACCGAGGAACGCCAGGTTATACTAATAAATGTGTGACGCAACTGCATTTTTTGGAAAAGTACTTCGCAATCAATTTTCGCTCGCTACCGATCAAAACGTGCGTAAGTTTTCAAATATCGTTTCTAAAAATTGATAAATTATTAATGTCGATATAAAAAGAATTTCCGGTCCTCCACTTTTCATTCGCTATATTTACGCAATATTTATTATCCGTTCTTCGCGGAATTATTAAAATTAAGCTAATCGAAAATCGCGTTCGTTATTAAAAATTTATAGTATTCTATTCTATTTATAGTATTCAATTCTCGTATGTAAATATATATTAATTCTTTAGTCATTTTTAATGTTCTTTCTAATTTGAATTTACAAAATTTTGCGTCAAAATGTCGACCATCAATTTATCCTTATTTCCATTACTTTGGAAATTAACATTAATATTCCCATGTCCTTTACCTCAATTGTGATTTTATACATACATAAATTTGTACAGACTATGGAAAAATAAATAATCGAAACGAATGCGAAAAGAATATTCAGTCTTTCGGAGAAATATTCAAATCTATTGTTAAAAAAAATCTACGCTTCGCGATTCATATATATGTATACCTTTTTGTCGATATTTTTGTAAAAATTTGCAATTCATTAACGTTTATAAAATTTATTGAAATATATGAACGAGGTTTCGATTTTATCTCTCGTCACAACGTAACTATAACACCTTGAAGCCGCTTCGAGAGAAGGAAGGCGCGTCATCCGTTCGCAGTGACGTTTAACCGTACTCTGTGGGAACGCGAGAGATGCAACACGAGCGGCAGAAAAGTGCGTCCGCCTCGTCGCCGTTAGCTTGTGTCGAGAGTGCGTGCGTACCTGTGTACGTACGTGTGTCGGCACGCACGAGTGCGCGCGCGCGCACACACATGAGCGCGAGCGCGCGTGGAGTGGAACGAAGCGCGAGAAACAGAAGATACGAGAATCGAGAGAGAGAGAGAGAGAGAGAAAGAGAGCTTCTTTCTCGCACCGGGCAGGTAGATACGTAATACGTAGACGCGAGTGCGCTTCGGAAATAAGCTCGAGGAAATAATTTCGCTCAATTTTTCGAGAAATTCCGGCGACCTCGGCCATAAAAAAAATCACGCCATCGGGGAAACAAACATATCGCCTGACGCAGTTTTTCATTCCAACGGGCGGCCGGCGCGACGCTGTTTCCTTCGCGACAAGTCGCCGAGGCGAAAGGAATGTTACGCGACAGACACGATCTCGCGCCGTCGCTGTCGCCGCCTCCAATCGCCTCCGTCTCTTCTTCCTCCCGCGAAAAAAAAAAAAGTCCGCGAGAGAGGCGGGAACGGCTCTATGAATTTTCTCGGGGAATTTTCGCGACTCCGTCGCGAAAATATCCGCGGCTACCGAGAACCTATCTTTCGCTTCGCACAAACCCGATATTACGCCAAAGACGAGAGAGAGGGAGAAGGAGAGAGACACACAGCGTGCCTGTCTGCGTTCTCGCCCTCTCTCCGCTCTCCTCTCGCGGTCACTTCTCGTCCTCCTTGCCTGCCTCGCACCTCCCACTCGCTCGCTCTCTCGCTCTCCGTCTTTCTCGCTCGTTCGCTCTTTTTCTCCGTCTCGTACGGCGTACCGTAAGACTTCTGGGGTCTGACGTGAATCAAGCGTGACATTGGCTCGACACAACAAAACTTGAAATCTCACTGACGTATGTACACACGCACGCATGAGGCCACAGCGCGGAAAGAGGGGGGGAAGGGTATCTGGCAATACACAACACCAGCACGAGCGACAGCGACGGCGATGACGGCGACGACGACGATGACGGCGACGTTGACATTGACGTCGACAAATGATGAACGGTACGAGACGCACTCGCCACATAATGCGCGACACGGTCGCGAATATAGGTTAACGTTCGGAGCGCGACGGTGGTCGCGTTCTCGCTGTCGCTCGGCGACACCGTGTGCCGGCGGCCACCGAGAGCCCTCGGCTTGGTTCTCTAGCGCGAGCCGAGCCGAGTCGCGCCTGGCCAGGCGTCAAACGTCAGGCGTCGGGCGTCAGGTCGACGAGAATTCCATCGGCGCGCTCCGCTCGTGGAATCGCTCTCTCCTTCCGCGCTGGAATCGCGCGCGCGCTTACGATCACTCACCAGTGCGAAGAAATTCGTGTGGCAGTCCTCCAGGCTGGCGCCGTTGGTTTGATGCGATGGATGCGTCATGGCTTCTCCATTGTACGCCGTACACGCATTAGTCTAACACTCTCGAGCGGCAGCTTCGGCGCCGATATTTCCCCGGTCACACGAGAAATCGCGGAACGGCGGGGCCACACCGCGCTTATTCACTCGACCCGTGCATTTAGGAGGGTTTTCACTTCTCAATGGCGACCGTAAAATGGCGGCGGGCGGCGATGGGAAACAACAAGCGCAGCCGCCGGGTGCGCCCCCTAAAGCTCACTGCCGCAGTTCTAGTTGCCGTCGACGGCTACCGTCGCTGCTGATGCTGCCGCTGCCGCTGTTGCCGCTTCTACCACCACCACTGCTACCACCACTGACACTGACACCGCGACGGCGACGACGACGACGACGAGCGTGAAAAAGATGGCGGCGCTCATCAGGCATGGCTCGTTCGCCAACGCTTTTAGGAGTACCTCGGCTATACTCGTCGCTAACACGGTCAGTGAACTACTCTCGTCGCTCTCGCTCGCGCGAGCCCACACCCGTCACTCGCGGATCACGCGCACCTGGACGGACGGGACGGCTCGCGGACGAGTACGCGCGTCACCGCTAACGACATCGTCATTTTTCTTCTTCCAGACGGCCGCGCGTCGCGATATCGTCCGGCACAAGATCGACAGGAGCAAGGTCCTCAAGCCGAAGGTGAAGACGACGATCGGCTCGATCGGGGAATCCTTGGCCGCTCGCGGGTAAGCACGATCGCGTCCGGATTCTCGCGTCGCAGATGTACGGTTAAATTGGCGTTACGTCGCGGCGCTGCCTGACTAACGGGGGCCGCACCGCGGCCATCTTACCGTCTGCCACCACTCCCTCCGCGCGTCGACCAATCGCCCGACGAATCTGACAGGTCCGCAGGGCCGTACGTCGCTCCTCTCCCCCTCCCGCCTCTTATTTATATCTCGACGCGTCGCGTCCAGGCGCGACCGCGAAAAAAATGAGAAAACGCGTCTCCCCAAACTTTCGACTCGATCTCGCGACGATAGTTTATTATGATTGATCGATGCCCGCTTCTAGCGTTTACGTTTGCGCTCTCGTAATGCGATCTCCTCCTGCCACGCATGTCGCTGTTCAACGAGCAAAAATCGTGACGCAACCGACGTCTTTCGAAACGGAACGTAAAACACGAGCGAGAATTGGAGAGGGAATCTTTCATTTTTGCTCGCGAGGAACGATTCCTATTCGGGATTGGCTTCCGATTATGCATCTTTCGTACAATTCTCGTTTTTAACATCGATCGATTAATACGTCCAATTGATGCATTAATTTGTAACGTACGGTTAATCGATATTTTTCTCGATATCCTTCTTGGAAAATTAAACGATGCTTACGATAATTGATTGCTGTTTGCGTATTTATGAAAGTAACGAAACCGAGAGTTTCGCGAGTTTCTCCTCCATCCGCGGGGCACTTTGACGCACTACAAATACGTCACTGTTCGATGAGAAACGACACGCGTGGTGGCAGCACCGTACGGTCAGCGGACATCGATCTCCTCCCTCCTGTCATCGCGTCCCGCGTCTGATTCTTTTGTCCCTCATCGCGTTGAATTTTTCGTTCGCGAGAGAGCAATCTTTTCCGGACTGCGCGAAAAGTTCCACGCGAGTCTCATCGTGACAATAATCGCGCAAGATTACACCAATTGACGTGCTCGCGAAATCGGAGACGCTCCTAGAGGGCGAGAAATGAATAAATAGATATTTTAAATACATGTTAATAATACAACTATTTTTTCTATCCTATCCCCTCTTCGATATTTTTTTATTTCAACAAGCTTGTAAATTTTCTCAATGTTACTGAAAGATTTGAGAAAAAAAAGATTTATCTTTTGTAGTTGCAAACTTAATATCTTGAATTGAACGATTAATGTCAATTGGAATTCGAATTATTCAACATTGGAAATGATCGAGAACTTTTCGCGCGTCATATACAACTATTTAAATATATAATTTTTTAAATAATATATTAAATAATAAATAATCTATATAATTTTTTAAAAATTAGAAAAGCCAATTAGATACCATTTGTTTAGATTTTTGAGGCCGCAGAATGGTTATGAGCCTCCCGAAGATGTGGTTGATAGGATTAACAAAATCTGTGAGAAACAAGCCATTTCCACGCACGATGACACAAAACTAGAAGATCCTGTTCTTCGTTTCAAGTTATTTGTCGCCTGCGAGGGAGAATTTAAGCATTCCATCCCAAATTCATTGCTTTATACCATCGAGAGCATCAGTTAGTAAAGTTCTTTTTTTATTGTATTTTGAGAAATTTAATAATACGAATTTAATAAAACTGATAATAATAAATGTTACATAGAGGACTTGAAACAATTTTATACGACACTGGTAGACAATACGACGCCTTACGAAACGTTAGGCAGATTAGATTTGCCAAAGAACTTGCACGTCCAACAGGAATATCATCGATTTCATCCAGGTGAGACGTCTTGTAGAATTTGCAGAAATATTGCTGTGAAAGATATATAAACTACTTTATACATGATATATGTATAAGTATTTAAGGGACGATATTTTTTTCATAGATACCGATACATTATTCAACGGCAGAACGGCCTTTCCGAAAAGTTCTACCCTTGTGACCAGTATCAAGTATAAGAAGAAATATCCTGGACATAAGCAAACCAATCCATGGTTGAACGAGCAGATGAAGCTCTAATTAATCTATTGTCAGATATTAAAGATAATTATAATTATAATCTCAAAAGTATCATTAGGGAATAATAAATTTGTTAAACAAAACCAGTTGCCTAAATTATCTGTTGTTTTTGTAGTCCTTCCAAAGGCGACTACTACTACAATTTTATTATTGCAATAACATTGCATAATATTACAATCATGAAATATTTATGTATTGGTATATTGACGTTTTCTTTAGGAATCGTCGTTGTTTTCAGAGAAAAATGTAAATTTTCATCATATATATCATAGGAATATAAAAGAGTCGCATATGTGATCGCGTAACCACGGATGCGAGTTTCCCCGATCGACCCATCAGACGCGCGTAGCAACGTCCCCATGTAGGATCAAAGTAGCGAAGTCGGAGAGCAATTTATTTAGCTCACAGTGTGTTATAGTATTGTACGTTGCAGTATTGTAACAGCGAGCGTACGTCGTTTTTTAAAGAGCGATCTATTATCATAATCAAAATGCCCGGAATCGCGAGTGCGACCGGTCTCATCTCCGCGCGAATTCATCCAGTTCGCAGACCGAAGCCTAAGGTAAAAGAAAAACAAAATTATGCCAACGAAACTGGGCGCCACGCGCGTCACTTTATGTATCAGCCTTCATTATTTATTTAGAGATTACGTATACGTAGAGCGTGGAATTATCGGGTTGTACCAAAGCAGCGCCGTTTGTCCTTCGACCGTTTGCCGGCCTTTTTAATCCTTATCCTTATGGTTGCTCGGTACTGTGCAACCATCCAGCGGATTGCGAGGCAAAGGAGGTGGTTCGACGCGCTAAAGATACATGGGTAAAAAAATGTTATCCATCGTTACGAAGAGAGAGGATAGTAATACGCAGTTTCATTTAGAGTGATATGAAACTTATGTGTTTCATTTATATTTTATATTGTAATAGAGCGATATTTGAAGAACTATTAAGCAATTGTTTACTAAGCAGAGGAATTTGATCAAAATTTATTATCTTCTCTCTCCTATTTCGTTTGTTTATTGTCATGTAACAATACTCGTCTCTTTATTTATGTTTCGTAACGTTAGGCAACCGAGGGAAAAGCTCTTTTACTGCCGGAGGAAATGGAAATGATACGGACGAGTCTGTTGGCGATGGGCGCGGGCGGGAACAGAGGCGAGATGACTGGAAATGTCGGAGGTGACGCCGGCGATAGTTACAATACCGACATGATTGGTTCGGCGGTGCCTGAGGAGCTCTTCCGAAAATATACAGAAACTGACTCGCGACCTTTGACCCCGGCGCCCACGCTTGCCAGCGGTCCAACCGCGTTAACTAACCACGCGACGCAGGAGGACCTACCGGTGACCTGTATTCCGCGCGAGCGCACCACCCTCGTCCTCGATCTTCGAACAAACTCGCAGAATCAGCAGGTGGTCAGTATTAGATACGCCAGTTTCGCTCGATTGCTGCTATCAGCATTTTTTTCTGCTTTATTATAGATCAATTTTCTCTTTCTTTTCCATCAAGCAAAAAATAATATTAATAATCTATTATTAACAATATTAATATTATAATAATTTTACTAAATATTAATATTAATTAGTAATAAATAGAATGATTCTTGTAAAAGTATATATATAATAGTTGCAGTTTAGACAATTTTCTGTGATATAAAAATAATAAATAAGTTACTTTATATCACAACAGATGATAATGTGCTCTAAGAAATGAGATAAAACTAAAATTAATTAACTTTAACTTAATTTTGAAAAGATCAATTGTAATATATCAATACATTGATATATTACAATGCATTATAAAATGAAATTATTTTATTTGAGATGATTGTTCTGTATGTAAAAATATTAATGATTCATTTGAATTTTAGGAAAACGAGACCTTTAGCTGGCATGCTCTTACGCTCGAACTACCGCCAATGCCCCGGAAAAGCGAGATACTTGTCTGTAAGCCGGTCTCGAAACCACAACATTTGTCAGCAACACCCGCACCGCCTCCTCCGTCACCTCCCTCACCTATCGCTGAAAGATGCGAAACGGTAAGTATCCGACCTTTCTCTAGAAACTGCTACATATGCCCTCCTTTCGCGCGTGAAATTTTTTTGTGAAATTTTATGTCATTTGAAAAATAATGTTGAATGTAATCGATGAAAGAGCTCATCCAAGAACGTGGAGGAAGAAGCTGATAGCGGCAGTGAACAACCGATAATTATTCGAAGACGGGGAAAGCGATTGCGTAAAAGAAAGTGTAGGAGGGGCTCGACTTATGGTCAACAAACGGAAGTTCGCGATCCGCTCGAGCCTACGGTAACGCAGGTCTCACAGATAGGAAACGGATCGCGGCGGCCATCGTTAGTATTTACAAAAATCTACATTAAAATTTATAGAAACAATATATTTTTTTAATGTATGAAGAGAGAATTGAAAAAAAGATAAGAAAAATAATTTTCTCAACAAGAAAAAAAACAATGTAACAGGGTTCATATTAATACCGATAATGTTGACGATTCGACATCTTCTAAGAAGACGCCCATGCCTACAACGAGTCACACGATGCCTCCGAGTTTCCTTGCACCCGACATTCTGAAACACTTGTGTCGAGAGCTAGATCGCGATAAGGTGGAAGCAGAATTCTCAATTAAAGTAAATATGCTGAGATTAATCTTTCCAAGTTTGCTAAATGCTTTTTTTAAATGCTAATTAATTATTTTAGAGACGAATCGCCTTAGAGGAAGCGTTACGGGTAAAAGGCGATGCTTACTCAACTCTCCGCGGATCTCGTCAAGCTAGTGCCAGTCTATTGGCGCAAAACGCACCCAGAGTATTTTCTCGTCAAGCAGTGCGATTTGAATTACTCGACAGTCAAAGTCTTTGTGGTATGTTTTATGTAGAGTTCATTAATGTATTCTCAATATATTGGAAGAATCTAACAATATATACTAAAACAAGTAACAAATCTTATACAAGGTATTCCTCACGCACACTAAGCAAAGTTTCTTTAATCTATCTATATATATATATATATATATATATATATATATATATATATATATATATATTTCTATGCTTCAATACAATCTATACTTTAGAAATTATATATAATCAATATTTATACATAAATATTTATATTTGTATTTTACCTGAATTATTTCATCGTATCACTGTGGATTTTGGATTTATTCACGATATGATTGTTGCAGGATTAACGCCACTTCAATATCTCAGCAAATATGCGTACATCACTTCGGGAAGAAAACTGATTTTCGGTCGAATATTTAACAGATTTAACGAAGAGGCATTGCACAGCGTGCGACGCATTTCGTCGAGTAGCGTCGAAGAAGCTCTTCAAGAAGTGATCGGGAAGGCGTTGACGGACGAGCAGCGATCCTATCTGAAGTCTGTGATAGGAGAGATAACAGACTCGTTGAACTTTAGAGAGTGGTGCGGATTGTGCGCCGCTGTCGAGAGGTTGCTATGTCCTCTGCCGTCAAGAACAAGCGATCCACCAGCCTGGCTCGAAAAGGTAGACTTCGAAGCTCTGGAACGAAGACTTAAGTCAGCCGAATCGGTGGATATCACGCTGGCATTATTATTGAAGGAGATTCGTGACAGATAAAATATGACGTGTGTTTCTCTTATTATACATGTTCTTTTTTTTATCACAGTGATCGCTAATTATAATGTTCGTATCGTAAATCTTACGATGAAATTTAATGTTATAATTATTTAATATAAGCCTAAAAAATAAAACTTTTTTACGATTCTACAAACGATCCCTATATATATCTTAACGAATTGCACAGTAAATGTTCAATAGTTGGATATTTAAAGCAGAAACGTACAAATTATGAATATCAATTCGTTTAAATTATGAATGAAACTACAGAGAAGATATGAATTATTACTTAATTATAACTAATATGAATGATTAATCGAAATGAGAAATTGGTCTTTCATAAATATATTAAATCTCGATCGTTATAAAAAATGGACCATGAATCAATTCATTCGTGACATTGATATGTAATTCTTTCTCGTATAACTTTGCTAAATCGAACATTTACTAATTTCATACATCGTTCGATCATGATGACGCGTAAAGATTACGATCCGTTCAAACATAATATAATGGAGATCACAAATACTTACTCGCGCCTTTAGCGTTGATTTATTGACACAAGATGTAGGACGAAAGAAAGCTCTTCTCATCTACGTTCATCGCACATTTTATTGCCAGAGCGGACTCGCATATATCCACTCGAGCGTACACATGTTGCTTGTATATTCGGTATTCGATTTTTTTGGCTAATATACAAACGAGTTTTCTTGTTCTCCCTCTCTCTCTCTCTCTTTCTCTCTCTCTCTCTCTCTCTCTCTCTCTCATTCTCTCGCACTTAACAACATAATAAATAATGGGTCACTTCTATTTCATCGTAAGGACAAGATATAAAACCGGTGTCTCTTTCTCCCTGCATTATTAAATAAATTAAGTAAACCAACAATACGACGAAACGTAAAAAAAATAATAAGAGCACGGGATCGCGTATAGAGTACTAGATTATAATAATACACTACCGGATGTGTGTCTCGTGTTTTCCGTGTGTTATCTGTTAATTTTTGTTCGTCGCTCGGTCGGTCGCTAGTCGCTACGTCACATATTGCACATACAACTAATGTACAAATATAACGAGATGCCTACGTGTCCGCGCCAGTGACCAGAAGGAGCTGCGATTAAGTATATGTGTATCTTCGTGAGTGTACACGTGTACGTATATGTTGTATATGGGCATGCGCGCATTATCCTCATGGCCCTGGGAGAACGTACGCACGATACGATACTACTTGGCTAGAGTCTCTATAATACACAGCGCAGCGCTATCCGCCGTATAACGGGATTTTTTTGGGACGTTGCGTTTGTAATCGAGATGTGCCAAGAGAGGGATTTTTATCCGCTTGTTTTTTTTTATTAATGCCGCAGCGAAAAATTGAGAGCGAGCTTTCGGAGGACGAGGCACTACGAGTGCATTTTGTCACCGACATCATTCCACAAGAAATGCTCCTCTCGCTCTACTTGAATCTCTTTCTTCATTCATCGCCACTCTCCCCATCATTCGTTTAGTATAAAAAAAGTTGCTGCTGTCGCTGTTGCGGGGCAGTGGGACTGGAGTATGTTGGTGCAACGTTGCACGTGACGGCGATGATGGGCTAGTTGCCGTTTGTGGATCGTTGCGTCGCCGGGATCACGGCGTCTCGCTCAGTCCCGTAGATCTTACCTGCTTTCCTCGCCATATTGCCGAGCATCTCCATTGAGCATTTGTGTGCCGATCTTAACGAGAGCGCCCATTCCTTCAAGCTTATCTCGTCCTACGGCGAGTTAATTATTGTTAATGTTTAAATTTTTCGGCAATTGAATGATTCAAAAAGTTCAAACTCTCTATTCGAGAAACTTAAATTTTTTTCAATTTTTTACAATACATTTATGTCATTAATCTTTTAAGTTTCATTAAAAACTATTACTCGAAATGTACGAAATACTGAAACTTTAAATTAAAACATTTTCACTCAAAACTATTTAAACAATTAAATCATACTAATCATAACAATTAAATCATGAATTGTCATATCTTTTGTACGAGATATAATTTGTATTTTATCGCTAAATGAAAATAAATTTACTTACGGCATTTGTAAGTACAATCTTTGCATCTCTTGTACGCATTACAATGCATTGTTCTCCCTTTACAAGCTGCAAATCTGCCCCGACTTCCTCGACCTGAAAAAATTGCATGTTGTACAAAATTATTTTTGCTCACGAGTAAAACAAAACTTGAAATTTATACAATTATTAAGTAAATGCTGATATATCTACATTTTAATTTGGCAATTTTATTCCTGCTTTATTCCTTTCATATGCTCTTTGTAAGCGACACGCTTACCTGATCGAGAAACACGAGCTCGGGCTTAGTCGCAGATTCTGGATGTAACTCTAACCGATTTGGATAAAGTTTCGCGTAACGCGTTTGCCATGCGCTCGCGAATGGACCTCCTAATTTTTTTATATAACCATGTAATATACAGTCCGAACCTGTAAATATGAATAATCGACATTGTATCAATTATAGTTTCATCTAATCTTAAATCTTAGAATATTAATACAATGCAGTTACCTTTCTCATCCGTGTCAAACCGTTGCTTTTGTTTCGCCTTTTTCTTATTTTCCAACTGTCGAGAAAATAAAATGCAATCAGTTATTAAACAACAATGAAGAAAAGATATTAAGCAATTAAGATGAGTCTCTTTTACCTTATCCGCTTCGTTATTGATTGTCTCGAACACAGTTTCGGCTACTTCAGCCTGCCATCTTTCGGAGATGACTAGGGGAAAGTTTTTGTACAGATCTTGATCCGCCTCTGTCAGTTTGATTCCCTTCGTGTCTTCCTCATCGAAGGAACCAATGTCAAAGGCATCTGCAGCATTAACTTCGCCGCGCGGCGGTATTAACGGCGGTGTATACTTTTGCAGATACACCTGCTGCCAATCGATACCACTGAAAAACGGGTGCGCCTTTAACTCGTCCGTGCCATTGCCGCGACAGCCGAGTCTGTTGTTAACATCTCGTTGTAGCAAACCTTCCAACAGCGATCTTAACTCTCGCGAAAATGTCTCTGGTAATTCAACGTTCTGCAAAAGATTAAAAAATTGTTCGAATCTTCGAGTATGTTTTTTTTTTTCAAAGAAATCTTTATCGAAATCGCTCAAATATTTGCTGATTGTTCAGCGCAGCAATAGATTACATGTGATGATCCGAAAATTATTTAATTTTTTTTCATCAAAAGTTTTTTTCAATGTCATGATTCAACACACGACTGCAATGAAATATCTCAGAAGTCTCAATGCAACTCACCATGGTCAGTGTCATACGATCAATCTCGTGTTTGTCCTTGGTTTTGTGTTGCCTGAATGGACTATGGCCCTTTAAGAGCTTGTACAACATACAACCGAAAGAAAACCAGTCCGCACTCGAATCGTATGCGGTGCCCTTCGAAAGTACCTCCGGCGCCATATATCCGTGCGTGCCACTGTTACAAGAGAGTTAGAAAATCTAGAGTGATGCGTTATATGCGTCGAAAAGTTTAATCGTGCTTCGAACAGTATTATACGTACACGCTCGCGTGCGGTTTCTTCTTCGAGAAATCGCATGCCAAACCCAGATCCGATATCCTGACGTGACCATGCTCGTCCAGCAATATATTCGCGGGTTTCAGATCACGGTAGACAATGTATCTGCGGTGCATGTGTTCTAAGCCGAGGATGACTTCCGCGGCATAGAACTTCATTTCCGGCTCGTTGAAGACTCCGTGTTGACTTAAGTGGTAATGCAAATCGCCGCCGTTCATCAGATCCAGGATAAAGCATAGTTTGTCGGCCGTGTGAAACGCGTACGTCATACACACTATGAATGGACAATCTACCTGCAACGACAATATTTTACGTTTCGTTATTTATTGCTTATGATTCATCGTAAAGATATTTTCATTTAGAAAAAAAACTCACTCCGGTGCTGACTAGCGAGAGCATTATCCTCTCGTTAAGAGCTAACGTTTCACCCTGTTTCATCTTAATGCGTTTTTTATCCAAACATTTCATGGCGTACATCTTGCCGGTATCCGCTTTCCGACAACCGTATACCTCACCGAAGCCGCCCCTGCCTATTATTCGATGCACGCTGAAGTCGTTCATCGTCAACTGTAATTTCCATTAAACGATACAGTATCAAAAATGATGTCCTTGAAAAAAAATAATTTGACAAATAATTCGAGAAATATACCTGAATATTCAATTCTAAGTTTTTCCATTGGCAAAAACGAGTGTATTTATCGCTATAAAAAAAATCATATACAAATTATTCATTTAGAAATCGCAGCACGGTTTACATATCGTCAAAGTGTAGTTGTACCTTTCCAGAAATTTTTGAAACGGTTCCCCTCGCAGATGATTGAAAATCTCTTCGATGTACGGCTACAAATAAAAAGGATTTCGTGAGACATGTAAATATCGACACGTATGCGCAATCACGTAGATAAGGCTACGAGACTGTGATCTACCTCGAACAAGTTAACTGGAACTTCATTCTTCATGAGATATTTGTGCACGTGAGATACCGCCTCTGGTGAATATTCCTACAAAATATATATAGATATATTATTATATGATATCAAAATCACAGAGAGAAAATTTTTCTCTAGCGATATCTCTAGAGGAAATACGTGAACGTTCGATTCAATGCCATGTTATACTCACGTGAGAATGCGACAACAACTCTTTCATAATATAATTGTCGTAGATCTCTCTGGCAAGTTTTCTCCTGTCTTCCGGACATTCGAGCTTCTCGTACGCTTTGATCTACAATGCATAAATAAGAAATTCCTTTACGCAGTTGTCTCAACGATACATGGATATATGCGACGCTACTGAAATGTAATTAAATAGTGTGCGGGCTAAAAACACGAACCTCTTCGTAAAACCTAAGTTGCGGAATCGGTTCCTCCGCTACAGTCTCGCAGAAGTCTTTGAATAAAAGGTAACCTGGAAGTACATGTGGAGTTTGCTTGACATCGGCGAATATTACAATATTGTCACAATTCACTACATCGATGTTATTTTCACGAAAAGTGATAAATAAATCTGTATGAAACGCCACGGTTCTGCTAAAAAACAAGAGGACAGAGTTTTCCAGGTCATCTCGGAGCGATAGCGATTAATTTATACATTTCATGTTAT